TTACTCAGGAGGCTGTGGCAGTAGGATCTAGACACAGCAAGACCCTTTCTAAAAGTTTTTTTAAGTGGTTTTCCAGGGACCAGCAGTTAGTGTAATGGCTATGTCGCTGGACTCCCATGTAGTCGACCATGGTTCGAGTCTTGTGCCCAGTAGCTTAAACTCACACCGGGCATGTGTGCGTGTGTGCCCAAGATCCCAAGAGGAGAATGGAGGAGAAGGGATTGCAGAATGGTCATCCCCCTGGGGGGTGATTTCTCGCTTTCTGTCTCTCTGTCTCTTTCTGTCTTCCTGGTGAGTGCACACGCCCTATAGCAAAAATCTCTTTAAAAAAAAAAAAGTGGTTTTCTAATTCCTGATAAATGAGTTAGCTCACCGATTGCTATTCAAGGCCATGTTCAAGTGAAATTCACCTTGGGGGGAAAAAAGTAATAGCAGCAGCTGCTAATTTTGAATGACTCTATGTGCCAGGCACTATGTTGGCTACTTCATAAAATTTTTCTAGTTATCATGTGATATCATTCCGATTTTGCAGATGAGAAAACCGAACCAGACTGTGTGTCTTGCCCAAAGTCATGGTGCTGACAAGTGGTAGCGCTCAGAGTCAACCCCAGATCTGACTGCACATTTTGGATGTTTCCCCTTCCTTTTTTCTTTCCTTCCTTCCTCTCCTTTCTTTCTTTCTTTCTTTCTTTTTCTTTCTCTCTTCCTTCTTTCTTATTTATGTATTTTTTAACAGGACCTGGCTGTTGCAATCCTCCTGTCTCAGCCTCCCAGCTAGGACCACAGGCATGCACCACCACACCAGCTCTTTTTAGATGGGGTCTCATTGTGGTGCTCGGCCAGCCTCATGCTCACAATCCTCCTGCTCCAGCACCCCTTCATCCCTAGAATCACAGATGCCTGCCAGCACACCTGCTTTTTTCCCCTTTACATTATGTATACTACATCAAAACAAAGCCCCAAGAGTAGTTGATAGGGTTTTGCATTTCTAAATAGAAGAGTGCTAACAACTTTGGGGATTATGAAAAATAAGGTATGGAGCCATTCTTTTCTGGTGCTATTTAGGCCAGGCAGAGAAAGTCTGGCACCTGAAATCTCAGTGTCATTTACTGGCTTTTGTCATCACGAGTTCCATTCCCTGTACCCTTACACAGTGAAGAAGTGCCGATCTCTAATTCAGGCTGAAGTAGACTATTCTTTTCTCCTTAATGGCTTTCCCACCTCCCCATCCCTATACTTCTTCCTAGAACTTCATAGATTCTAATTGCCAAAAATGGGTGTGTGATATGGCCAGGGTTTGTGTAGGTTTTTCCTTCTTGGAACATATTTGTGAATAGGATAGGTTTCCCTTTGACAATGCTGGAAACACAACTGGTCCTGAAGGGATGTGTGTGTGTGTGTGTGTGTGTGTGTGGATGCATGCACACATGTGTTCTCATGCACCCATGTGCACACTAATCTCCAACTCTTGGAGCATTGGAAATCAGTATTTATTTGGTCCCAAATCTCATGAAACTGCAGCATCCCTTGGAATCTCTCTAAAAAGAATAGGGAATGGAGATTATATTCTTAAAAAAAAAAAAAAAAAAGTTTCAAGCTCACTTCCTGAGGGTTTTTCTCTTTTGGATTTACAGGAAATTGCTGGAAGGCGAAGAGACACGTTTTAGCACCAGTGGATTAAGCATTTCAGGGCTGAATCCAATCCCCAATCCAAGTTATCTGCTCCCACCTAGAATCCTCAGTTCTGCAACCTCCAAAGTCTCGTCCTCTGGGCTATCAATTAAGAAAGAGGAGGAAGAGGAGGAGGCTTCTAAGGTGGCCTCTAAGAAAACCTCCCAGATAGGAGAAAGCTTTGAAGAAATATTGGAGGAGACAGTAGTATCTACTAAGAAAACCGAGAAATCAAATATAGAAGAAAGCACCATTTCAAGCCAAAAGATATAATTCTGTTGCTTTAAAAAACAAAAGTTAACGCTTAGAGGGAATAATACACATCTACTTGCTAACCAACCTATTCCTGAACCATAACACCTGTCACCACCCTCACAGGTCTCCACGGCTTCAGTCTCCTATTTAGTCTCGAACACTTACTCTCTCTAATAAGAAAACCACCCCTGGGAGGACACTGCAGTCCTGGAGCAATCGCAGCGGAGTTCTCTAAGAACACAGCTCTCTCACCTAACACTCAGGCTTCACAGCGGTAGATGACTCAGGTGCAGAGGAGGTACAAATCCCGGTGCTAAGTCTGTGATCATCGTCATTTGCTGTGAACTGTATCCATTCACGATACCTAGCCATTACCCAGCTATAGAACCTTACTCTAAATGCCCCAAACTTAGATCACTGCCAAAGATAAAGCCCGAGGGTCCACACCGTTTCACTCTGCTAGAACAGTTGCACGAACGATAGGCATTTATTTAAAGGACACGTCTTTCCCACATCCCTCAATTCTGTCTGTCTCTTTCTTCCATCCAGGAAGGGGAAAAAAATAAAAAGAAAGCTGGAGTAGTATTCTTCCCTTTTAAACACTTGCAAGTTTTCTTCTCAAAAGAACGTATTCCCTTTAGTGCTCTTTGCTCAATGAATAAAATTAGGTGCATGTTGACCATTTCGATGATTCGTGAATGACTTATCCCTGCCCATTTCATATCCCTTCCAGTCTTTAGATTTAAAAAAGTGGCAGTGATGAATTTCAAATATTTCTACCCACTGAAAATAATAATAATAATAATAATAATAATAATAATATAAACCTAGAGTTTAGGCTTTCGGTATTCAATTTCACTTAATTAGGGGGAAAAAACTATTAAAAATGTAGCTTTTCACCTTTGCTTTAGAAGCACAGAGGTAGTTCTCCCACGCTGTGATTAAGCTGACCTTAGATTTAGTGGTAGAAGCTAGAAGAGGTGAGTGTTTTTATGAATGGAAAGAGCCACGGTCTCGTTTGTTTGTCGGTTCACTTGTGGTGGTCTAGAATTAGCTTTTTATGCCCTTACTCTCAGCCCTCCATATTCCCTTCCCCACTAGTCTGGGTCCTCAAGGGGCCTCGCTTTCCCTGCCCTATGCCTCGTGAGAGTGGATATTTTATCACCAGGACACATTGCTGCTGCCCAAGAGTAAGAGAAACCACTTCTGGTCAGTCACCACCACCAGCAAATACCAAAATAAATCATCCTCTTCTCCAAAAGGGTCTTTCCTGACAGTTTCCCATGGCTGAACAGTTGGCCGAGTGTCCCGTCCCCGCTGTAGAAGAGACACTGGAAAGACTGGCATGCCTCCACTCACCTCTAGGGCGCAGATTCTGGAGCCAGTTCTCCATCGGCCCAACTGTGCAGAGTCCGCCTTGCCCGGTCCCCACTTGCCACGTCGGACGCGGGAGGTGCTCTCTGTCAGCGGGCCCTTCACCAAAGCTAAGGAGTCGCCCTGCCGCTGTCCCACATCCCCACCAGGAGAGCTGCGGTGATGAGGCGACGATGCTTCTACCGAGTTTTCTATTCTCGCACCTGCTTCCGGATTTCAAGATACTTTCTCTTCTTCCTTCCCTTCCCCTATCCCTGTCGTTAGTCCTCGCACTTATTGTAAGACATTAATAAAATAAGAAATTAAAAGTCACACGAATCCCACCAACGTAACTCGTGTTCTGTGGTTTCTGCTCTTCTGCTGAGAGACGTGCTTTGGTCCACAGAGTCTGTCTGGGTCTTTTTTTTTTTTTTTTTCGGTACTCCCCGCCATGAACTCATTTATGAAATAAAGGGCCACGTGGTAGTGCCATGGCACGGCTGTGCTCTGCAAGGCTGGCGCCCACGTGGGAAGGCCCTGGGTTTGTGTCCGAGCTCTCTGTACACGCCAGGTGTGCCTGCGCCCACGATCCAGGCCGGCCGAGGCGGGGTGGACTGTGGCACGGGGAGCCTGAGGGGGTGTCTCTCACCAAGAACTTGAGACGGAAAAGGATCATTTAAAGACAATAAGAGCATCGGATAGAGTTAACAAATGATTAAATCAGAGCAGTGGGTAACGTGGAAAACAGACTCCTGGGGCGGAGAGAGGAAAGGAAGAGAAGCCAGCGACTGTGAGGACAGCGAGCCGAGCGCTCGTGGGAAAGCTGCCTGCGAAGTCTCCTCGTGATGGCCAAGACGACTTCTAGATTCCTCAGACAACGAGATCTCCCGTTTCTAGAGACTTCGGGTAATCAGTAAAAAGATAGAATACACTGGGGCTGGCAGGTGGCGTGGTGGCTAAGGCGACCAGAAGCCACACGGCCAATTGCGGTTCGAATCCAAACCTGGTGACTTGAAAAATATGCTGGACGCATACGTGTGCGTGGCCAAAATCCCACGAGGAGAAAGGAGAGGGGACTGTGGCATGGCCATCTCCCCGGGAGGTGTTCTCTCACTTTCCTTTTATCTCTTTCTCCAGAAAGCTCACAGATCCTAGAGCAAAAGAAAAAAATAGATAATTTACTTAGTACTTACTATAACTGAGTATAGTAACTACGTTGATTAGGCAGTCGACATAGAATGATCTCATTTAAACCTCACAACCACCCTGTAAGAGCAGTATTTGTACAGCCATTTTATAGGGACAGAATAAGGAGATCCGGGCCCTGTCTGGTGCTACACAGTAAGTAGCAGAGCTGAGGGTGACCGGTTTTCTGACTGCTGTGCTTGCTGTTCTTCCCTCTGTTGCTTCTACATAAAGAAACTCCCCTCACTTAAGGAACTAGGCATCCTCCCATCTTCTCTTTCACAGCTTCCTCACTGGGTTTCGCTTATGGTTTCTCTGCCCTGGAACCTGGGGCGCAACTGAGTCCCTCAGGCAAACTGCCTCTGCAGACTTCCTTAGCCTCTGCCTTCCCGCATTGCAGTGAGGAGGTAGTGACTTGAAACTGGGCTCTGGCTCATCCAGTCACTTCTGTTCCTGCTAAAAATTAGATAGATATGGAGCTGGCAGGTGGCGTGGTGGTTAAGAGTGCTGGATTCCCACATGGCCAACCGTGGTTCGAGTCCTGGACCTGGAGGCTTGCTTTCTTGCTTTCCCTTTCTCTCTCTCTGTCTTGCTCTGGTCAAAATTAAAAAAAAAAAAAATTTAGATAGATATGGGATAGCCAGTGGCATGGTGGGTAAGGCAGCTGGATCCCACATGCCAACTGCAGTTTGAGTCCTAGACCTGGCAGCTTGAAAATGCTGGGTATGCATGTGTACACGCCCGGGATTCTGAGAAGAGAATGAAAGAGAAAGGATTGCAGCATAGCCATCCCCCCGGAGAGGGATTTCTCACTTTCTCTCTCTAGTGAGCACATGTATCCTGTAGCAAACGAACAAAACAAAAAAGATAGATTCAGGTCCTTTTTCCCTATTTTGAAAGGGAGGGAGGGATTCTTACTATCTTGCAAAGAAATTTTGTAGCTTTCCATCAAAGAGCCTGAAAATGAAGTAGTGTTTACAGAAAGGACAATTTCTTTTTCTTTTCTTTCTTTCTTTTTTTTTTTTTTTGTGGAGAGGTTTTTGCTATAGGGCACGTGCACTTGCCAGAAAGACGGAGAGAGACAGAGAGACAGAAAGCGAGAAATCACACCCCAGGGGGGATGGCCACACCACAATCCCCTCTCCTTCATTCTCCTCTCGGGATCTTGGGCACGCACGCACACACATCTGGCGTGAGTTTAAGCCACCGGGTCCGGGACGCAAACCGCGGTCAACTACGTGGGTGTCCAGCGACATAGCCATTACGCTAACTGATGGTTCCCAGAAAGGACAATTTCTTAAAAAAGAATTATTTATTTATTTAATTCCATTTGTTATTATCTTTCTTTTTTTTTTTTTTTTTAATTTGAGCAGAGAGAGAGAACTGGAAAACGAGAAAGCAAGCTGCCACGTCTAGGACTCAAACCGTGGTTAGCCACATGGGAATCCAGTGTCTTTATTCACCACACTGCCTGCTGGCCCCCAGAAAGGACAATTTTTAAAGAGTGAATAAATTCAGAATTTTTATAATTCATTTTACTACACTGGCTAAAGAGGGGGACACGGTTTGAGGAATTGTCTGGAAGCTAGAGTCCAAAGTTTGGCTTCAGAGTTAATGCAGGTCACAAACAGTCATGGAGATAAACGTCCGGAACTCACACGTGAGCTCGAGCAAAGGGCCCAGTGCCACCATTCCTGGGCCTACAGAAACACGAAACAGTTCGTAAAATGTACCTAGAAATCCTTTGGGACAGAAAGCAGGATGGTGGTTGCTGGGACAGGAGAAGAGTGGGCAGTGGAGTATGACTACTGCATGATTATGGGGTTTTATTTCGGAGTGACAAAAATGTTTTGGAACTGGATAGTGGTTGTAAGTGTACTAAATGCCACTGAATCATTTACTTTAAAGTGATTGGTATTATGTCCCATAAATTTCACCTCAATTATTAAAATCCATCGAGATAATTTATGGTATTACCAGAAAAATATATTCATGGAAGTCTACTGCACCTTCCGCTCCAGCTGAGGCCCTGGCGGACAGCCACCTGGGTCAATCCCAGCTCGAAGAACTCCCATTAGGACAACATAAGCTGGATCTAATAAGCATATTGATTTCAAAACAGAGCCTAAAGAAAAATCCAGAAAGTTCCCTGGGTACAAATGCAAACAACACAAAACAAAACAAAAACAGCAGGAAATGTTTATTCATTAGCACCCATCACTGATTTCCAACCAGTATTCTTCTTTTATCATCAATCAGACAGCTCTAAGGTCCTAAAAAAACTACATCACAAGAATACAGTTTTGGGGGGACCAACCAGCAGTTGGCGTCATGGCTTTGTTGCTGGACTCCCACGTAGTCGACCGTGGTTCGTGTCCTGGACCAGGTGGCTTAAAACTCACGCCGGGCACGTGTGCGTGCGTGCCCAAGATCTTGAAAGGAGAATGGAGGAGAAGGGACTGTGGCGTGGTCATCCTCCCTGAGGGTGATTTCTTGCTTTCTATCTCTCTGTCTCTTTCTGACGAGCGCACGGACCCTATAGCAAAAAAAAAAAAAAAAAAAAACCCCAAAAAAAAAAACCTTTTGGCAGGTGACATGGTGGTTAAGGGCACTGGACTCCCACATGGCTGACTGCAGTTTGAGTCCTGGATCTGGCGATTTGCTTTCTTTCTTTCTTTCTTTCTTTTTTGTTGGAGAGGTTTTTGCTATAGGCGCATGTGTTTGCCAGAAAGACAGAGAGAGACAACGAGACAGAAAGCAAGGAATCACCCCCCCGGGGGGACGGCCACGCTGCAATCCCTTCTCCTCCATTCTCCTCTCAGGATCTTGGACACACATGCACATGCACCTGGCATGAGTTTAAGCCACCGAGTCCAGGACTCGAACCACAGTCAACTACATAGGAGTCCAGCAACATAGCCATTATGCCAACTGTTGGTCCTGCTTTCTCACTTTCTCTCTTTCTCTCTGTATGTGTGTGTGTGTGTCCCTCTCTGGTCAAATTAAGATAAATAAATAAAATAAAGTTACATAAAGTAATTTTTAAAAAAGGAATACATTTTTTCCTCCTTAGCGCTAAATTTGTAAACCTGAAGGCACAATAACTTAAACTGGAAATAAGTGAGAGGGGCTGGGTAGACCCTTAAAACAGAACTCAGTGAATTGTTTTATTTATAAGACATTTAATTCTGGCTTTGAAATATTTTCAAATTTAATATCCAGGTTAGGTTGCTGCCATCATGCAT